TATGATGTTTTAATGTTGTACAAAATTTTAAAACTCTTTGTCCACCAAAATTAGTAAATTTGTCCTTTCTCCAAAATGTAGTTCATGTTGAGACTTAAATTCAGATTTTGTGGCCCACGAGCCCTTTCATCTGGATAGTTTTGGCCCACATGAAAAAGTTTGGACACCCCTGTAGAGGGTTCCTGTGTTGCGAGGTGTAATAGCTCCCCCTTGTGGAAGATATTAGAAATACAACAGCTTTTATCAACAATGAACAGCAACAATTCAAATCTTTTCAGGTTTAGTCACATCCTTTTTACGTCCTTTTATTCAGGGGGGGAAGGTGCTGAACTACAGCGACCCACTCCTTGTCTTCTTCTTCCTGCTGACCTTCACCGTGGCCACCATCATGCAGTGTTTCCTGATGAGTGTGTTCTTCAACAAGGCCAACCTGGCAGCGGCCTGCAGTGGTATCATCTACTTCACCCTCTATCTGCCACACATCCTTTGTTTCACCTGGCAGGACCGGATCACCAACAACATCAAACTGGCAGCAGTACGTTTAGGGGTTTATTATTGTCCGAACAGTGGTGAATGATTATGTAATTTGTGCTTGTGTCTGTTAGCAAAATATTCCATGAGCCAGGGGATAGATTTGAATGAAGGTCTCAGAAATCATCTTTTACATTAATATACATTATACTCATTAATTTTTGCAGTGAACCTGGTTTAAGATGGCCACCACAGCTAATTAACCTTAGCAATCATAACAATGGCTGTAATTCAATCTATTTTACAGATAATGAGACAAAATCTCGTGTGGTAGTAGCTGACAGTCTTTTCCAACATAGCATTAACAAATAGTACAACATTTTGGCACTATCTATTGAGGTCAACCCTGTCTGTTAGCAAAATATCTCAATAATTAGTGGTCAGATTTTATTGAAATTATCAGAAAGTAATCACTAAATGTATATATTTCACTTATTAACTTTTGTAGTCCATCCGATTCAAGATGGCTGCTACAGCTAATCAAAATGATCAAACAACAAAACAGCCACAACTCCGGTAATTATACAAATATTAAGCTAAAATTTAGTATTGTAGTAGTTAAGAGTCCTCCTCAACACATAGTCCAAGCACCAACAGATTGCACAAGATTTGAGCTTAAAACTTTGTCACACAAGGTGGCAGGTCATGTGCATTCTGTAAAGGATTGCACATTTTTTGTTATTTTATATTTGTTATTGTTCAGAACCTAAAAAATATCAGATATCAATAATTTTTAGATCTCAAACTCTAGAAACACTTAAAATTATTATTTTTTACACAATTGAGGACATTTGCCTATCACCTCACAGGTACTGGTGCACCAACAGTGTTAGAAAACCTAAATGCAGCTTCTCTGTTTCTGCAATGAATGTACATGAATATTGAATTAGACTGAGCAACAGAAACAAACACTGTCTTCCTCCTAGAGCGTACTGTCTCCAGTGGCCTTTGGCTTTGGCACCGAGTACTTGTCCCGGTATGAGGAACAGGGTTTGGGTCTGCAGTGGAACAACATCCAAACCAGCCCATTAGAGAAAGACACTTACTCCTTCCTCACCTCCATCCTCATGATGGTGTTCGATGCCGTCTTCTACGCGCTCCTGGCCTGGTACCTGGACAACGTGTTCCCAGGTTGGGCTGCCAACGTTTCCAATGATAATAATTTATTTTGGATTTTAAAAACTGAACATTAAGTCAAATCTTTGCTCCGCAGGGCAGTATGGCATTGGTCGACCAGTCTACTTCCCACTCCAGCCTTCATACTGGCACAGACCAACTCCTTCAGTTACAGAAAGGTCTGATCAAGGTTCGTCAGCTGTCAGAGGAGCAATTTATCACCTAAAAATAGTTCTTTCATTCAGAAGAGACCGCCTATTTTAATTCAGTACACATTAACCCACAGTGACCTATTAGAACTGGTTCTGTCGACATTCCCAAAAAGACATAAAAACCTTATTTGCGTTTTTTCTCTCCTAGATTCTAAGAAACCTGAACCAGAGAACCAAGAGCTGGACGTTGAGAGCAGCGCTACGCCAGAGACGAACGCCTGCAACGGCTCTGCCAGCAAGAAAACCTGCAAACACCGAAGTAAGAGGGAGCAGCTGGAGCGAGAACGAGAGCTGCTGAAGCTGCAGGAGGAGAGTCCGAACCAGGAGGAGCAGGCTCAGGATCCTGCTGGAAGAGAGGGTGAGGACCAAAGTACACAGCAGAACTCCATCTGCAGGTAGGGAACGCTATGGGGACACCTGGTGGCCAGAGAGGGAATGACACAGCTGCTCAGGACAGAAATAAACGGCTGGAAATATTAATCAGGAATAATAAAAGGTGAAAACATGATTTATTACAAGAACATTGAAGATCATTGTGAGGTAGTTAAAGTTAAAGTGTGCTGGTTCTGTTTAGTTCTTTTTTTTTATTTTTAGGAATAATAATAATAAAAAAATCAGCACTTGCATATTTTAAAGAAGTAATTATGTGTAAAATACCGTATGTGGGTGGAAAGATAAACTAATACAGGCACTGGAGGAATATGCAGTGATTAGCTTTTATACAGCGCTTTGTGTCTCAAAGGTTTACGTTAAATTTGAACCAAGACAATTAAAAAAAAAAAAATACTTTTTACAACAAAGTCTGAAGTAGGACAGCACAACTATAAATAAAGATAATTTATGCGCTGGGTGCTTGTCTTACTGTCTTGCCATGCAAAAGACTGGAGCTGCTTTATTTTTTAAATTATGAGCACCTTTCCAAATGTGTGTGTGTGTGTGTGTGTGTGTGCGCATCATGAGAATACTGCGCACACCTCTAAAGTAACGAAGCACCAAAGCTGTTTGAAGCAGAATCAGCCGACAACAATCCTTCAAGACTGGACCGGCTGACTGCTGCTGCAGGTTCAAGTAAAAATAAAAAATAAAAACCAGGAGCTGCTGTCAAGGTCACATGAGAATCATTGTTTTGTTTCGTTTTTCAAGTTAAATAACTTAAAAACGTAGGTGGAAAAATTCAGCTCGTAAAGTTGAACAAAAAAAGTTGTTTATTTTTATACAAATTTAGCAATTTCTGTTTGAGATGATAAGATTCAGTTTTAAAGAGGAAAAAAAAAAACAATGAGAAATTTTTATTTGTAGAAATTATAATTTAAATCTAAAACATCATTTAAAGGTGAAAGTTACTGAAATAAAACTCTTTATTTGTCTCTTCTCCTGCAGGCCTGTTGTTCTTTGAGCCCGACCCCGTGGACCTGGTTTTGGGGGTCCAGATTCAGGATCTGGTGAAGGTGTTTGACAGAAGCTCTCGTCCGGCTGTGAACTGCCTCAACATCAACTTCTATGAGGGGCAGATCACGTCCTTTTTAGGGCACAACGGGGCAGGAAAGACAACAACGCTGTAAGCACTGAACGGTTAAATTTAGGACATTTTCTTTCACTGCTGATGCAATATTTCATTCCTGCACAGCTTTCATCAAATCCTGCAGGTTTATCAGGACCACCGGTCGGGAACAAACCACAGAAAACAACTTATTCTCATGAAACTCTTTCAAATTCTTCCTTTATTTGATTCTGATCAGACTTGTGGGGGTGTCAGCTTTCACCTGTAACCTTATTTCTTCCAGGTCTATCCTGACAGGTCACTACCCCCCCACATTTGGCACAGCCTACATCAACGGAAGAGACATTAAAACTGACATTGACATCATCCGCACGTCTATGGGGATGTGTCCGCAGCACAACATTCTCTTCAACCAGTGAGTTCTAAACATCTACGATAAAAACAACAAACTAGAGAAATTCATTTCCTGAGAAAATGCAGCGTGAATGCTCATTGCTGAAGAACTTGCTGAAAAACAGCTGAAATTAGCTGAAAAACGTGCTAAATTTTAGCTGAAATGGAAGAACAAGCTTAAATTAGTAGAAGAAAGCAGAAATAACACATATTTGCTGACTTTAGTTTACGGTAAATAAAAGGAAATGAGTACACAAATTAAGAAATTGCGGTAGCTAAAAAAAATGCTGAAATTAGCAAAAATTGCTGAAAAGTAGCTGAAAAGGCAAAAAGAAGCTTAAACAAGCAGAAGGAAGTGGAAAGAGCTGAAATGAGTGCAAGAAATGTGGAATTAGCTGAAAAAGCTAATAAATAGCATAAAACAGCTAAATAGCAGCTTAAATAATTGAAACTAGCAGAAATAAACTGAAAGAAGCATAACACGCTGAAATTAGAAGAAAGAAGCTAGTTAGGCTGAAAGTAGCAGATGTTATCACAAAAAAATATATATTTTAATTTATCTGAAAACAGCTGAAATTAGCTGAAAAAGGCAAAAAAGTTAGCTGAAAAATTAGAACAAGCTTAAATTCCCAGAAGAAAGCATAAAGAACATGTTTGCCCAATTCAGCTGAAAGAAGCAGAAATAATAATAATAATAATAATAAATTTTATTTCTATAGCACCTTCCAACAACGCCTTGCATTGACCAAGGTGCTTCACAAGACAAAACAAGATTAAAAACAGGACACAATAAATCAGTGCAAATTAAAAAAACACAGCGAGAATAAAAGAACGTAAAAGAGATAAAAATAAATAAATAAATACTAGAAATAAGCACAAAAATGTGGAAATTATCAGCAAAAAATTTAAATTTGCCAAAAAAAAAACAACGACAACCAACCAACCAAACAAACAAACCATCTGTAGAGTAGCTAAAAAAGGCAGAAAGAGGCTTAAATTACCAGAAGGAAGTGGAGAGAGCACATTTTTGCTGAATTAGGCTGAAAAAAGCTGCAATTAGTAAAAAAATTAATGAATTGGCTGAAAAAGCTAACATTAGCATACAAACAGCTAAATAATAGCTGAAATAGCAGAAAAAGCTGAAACTTGCAGACATAAGCTGAAAGGAGCAAAAAGAAGTTGGAAGAAGCAGAAAAATTTTGTAGTTTGCAGAAATAATCCAAAAGGAGCACAAAACAGCTGAAAAGCAGCTGAAATAGCTGAAAGTATCTGAAAAATAAGTTTAAAGTTGCACAAGGAAGCTGAAATAGAACAAAATGTGAAAGGAGCATTAAAAGGTTGTAAACAGATCTAAAGATTTGAAGGATGTAAAATGAGCTCAATTTATTTTCTGAGAGAAAAAAAAAAATAGCAGAAAAGGCTAAATATTTCAAAAAGCTAAAGTTGCACCAAAACCAAAAGTTATAACTCCCTTCTCCTCAAAAAGCTGAACGTTTTGATATGATTTGTTGAAATACAAAAATTATGGAACAAGAAAGATGCTGAAAAATGTTCGTAAGCAAAATGGATCAGAATAGTGTGAATGCTTCATAAACTTCCACGCTGTTTTTAGCTGAGATACATTGAGCTGTTAGACGTCTGCACTTCTGCAAAAAGCAAAACGTTAGCGCTTTGAACGTCTGGAATCAGACCAGTCACTTTTGTCTTACTTTGTAAAACGTCTGTAAACCTTTGAATTTGTGCTGCCATTATCCCCCAGCCTCACGGTGGAGGAGCACATCTTGTTCTACTCTCTGCTGAAGGGTCGGACTCGAGAGGAGGCGGAGGCGGAGGTCGAGAGCATGCTGCTGGACCTGGGACTGCCTCACAAGAGAGACGACGAGGCCCAGAACCTCTCAGGTCACACACTCGTCTCCGTCTGTGGGAAAGAGGGAACTTATCCGGGTCTCTTTTAAACACGGGTCTCGTGCTCATCACAGGAGGTATGCAGAGGAAGCTCTCCGTCGCCATGGCGTTTGTGGGAGGGTCAAAGGTCGTCATTCTGGATGAACCGACCTCAGGAGTGGATCCGTATTCCAGAAGATCCATTTGGGACCTCCTGCTGAAATACAGAACTGGTAAAAATACCTCGTCAGCAAAATCAAACACATTTTGGTTCCACAGAGAGCGCAGGAGAATAAAACAGCTCTTTTAAAAGATTTTATTTAAGTTGAAACTTTTGAAAACTGGAGTCGTGTTTACAGCTTCTTCCTCACACGAGTGGTCTTAATAAAAATCTTGTTCAGGGCGCACGGTGATTCTGTCCACACACCACATGGACGAGGCCGACCTGCTGAGCGACCGCATCGCCATCATCTCCAAAGGACAGCTGTACTGCTGCGGCTCGCCGCTGTTCCTCAAAAACTGTTTCGGCGTCGGTTTCTATTTAACGCTCGTGCGCCGTATAAAGGTCCTCAGGAAGAGAGAGGTGAGCGGACGGCTGGGACACACACAAGCTGGACCGTGTCTCCTGAGAAGTTCCTTCCTGCACCTTGTGTTGAAACAAACTGTTTTTAACGCCAAGAACGTTCTTGTTGTTCCCGTCAGAATGAATGTGACTGCGCCTCAGACTGCTCCTGTGCCTGCTCCATCTGCACCAGATACAAAGATCAGTCTCAGAACCAGCTCCAGCAGCTGGACCGAGTTCTGGACGGTAGGCGGACGTCTGCTGAGTTTACATTATATCCTTTAACTGAAAGTCTTTGTCCACATAAACCAGCACAAGCGACTAAAGGGTTTCCAGTTAATTTACAAACACTCAAAGTTTAGTTCTGGGCCCATAAAAGAAGTCAACATTCCTGCAAAAATGCAGTGTGAATGCTTATTGCAGAAGAACTTACTATAAAACTGCTGAAATTAGCTAAAACACGCTGAAATGTAGCTGAAATGAAAGAACAAGCCTAAGCTTGCAGAAGAAAGCAGAAAGAACACATATTTGCTGAATTAGGTTTAAATAAGCAAAAATTAGCACAAAAATTAGGATATTATCTAAAAAAATCTGAAAAGTAGCTGAAAAAAAAAAAAGCTTAAACTACCAGAAGGATGTGGATGGAGCTGAAAAGAGTTCCAAAAATGTGAAATTAGATGAAAAAGCTAAAATTAGCACAAAAATAGCTAAAAAGCAGCTGAAATAACAGAAAAAGCTGAAACTAGCATAAAAAAAGCTGAAAGGAGCATAAAAAGCTGAAATTAGCAGAAAGAAGTTAATTAAACTGAAAGTAGCAGAAATAATCACAAAAATTTTGAATTTATCTGAAAGCAGCTGAAATTAGCTAACAATGCTAAAAAGGTAGCGGGAAAAAGGTAGAACAAGCTTAAATTAGCAGAAGAAAGCAGAAATTACATGTTTGCCCAGTTATTTTTTTTTTCTTTTTTCTTTTTTGTTTGTTTGCCCCGTTAGACTGAAAGAAGCAGAAATTAGCATAAAAAAGTAGAAATTCGCCAAGAAAAGAAAAAAAAAAAAAACAGCAGAAAAATAGCTAAAAAGGCAGAAAGAAGCTTAAATTACCAGAAGGAAGTGGAGTGAGCACATTTTTGTGGAAATAGGCCAAAAAAAGTTTAAATGAGTGCAAAAAAATGTGGAATTATACAAAAAAGCTTAAATTAGCATAAAAGAGCTAAATAGTAGCTGAAATAGCAGAAAAAGCTGAAACTGGTGTAAATAAACTGAAAGGAGCAGAAAGAAGTTAGAAGAAGCTCAAAAATTTTGTAATTAGCAGAAAGAACCAGAAAGGAGCACAAAACATGAAAAAAAAAAAAACAACAACAACTGAAAGTAGCTGAAAACATGTTAAAATTTGCAGAAGGAAGCTGAAAGAAGCTGAACCAGAACAAAATGTGCAAGGAGCAGTAAAAGGCTGTAAACAGATATAAAGACTTGAAGGATGTAAAATGAGCTCAATTCATTTCTATGAGGAAAAAATTGCAGAAAAGGCTAAATATTTCAAGAAGCTAAAGTTGCATCAAAACCAAAAGTCACAGCAGGATTGTCCTGAAAGAGCTGAACTTTTTGATTTATGATTTGTTGAAATAGCACAAAACTTGTGGAACGAGAAAAAACATAAAGCTGAAGCTCATGGCTGAGCAGGGTGGCTGCTATGACCTCAAAAAAGTAAATGAAATGAAATGACTTTTGATTTTACACTGATTATATATTAAAATGTGCATATTTTAGAAACAAATGTATGAAAAGTCTTGTCAAAGTGAAAAGTTTTGGCTTTCTTGAAACTGTACATGAAAGAGGAACACGTTTAGTCGACACAAATTTTAAAATCTTTGCTTCTCATCAATTTTTACCATTTAAAGGTTTTCTATTGTATTCTATTCTATTCTATTTTGACTCTGCAGTCAAACCTGTGAGGATATGTGAGTGTGCACTTGTTAGAATTCCTATTACTGTGTCTTTTTATTAGAGTTTTAAACAAGATAAAAAATAAAAAAAAATCCAAACTCATTAATTTAATAGTTGCTGCGGACCCGTGAGTCTTTGCCTCCTCATCTGCCTGAGGACATTTTACTTTAGATGCAACGCTTCAAAGATTTTCCAGCACAAATGCACTCATTTATCTCAGCACTTGAAAAATGCTTCTTTTTTGTTGTTGTTGTTATTTCAAGCTGTTTTTCTTCTTGTCTCACTTTCTGCTTAAATAATAATTAAAAAAAAAACTTTGTTCTTAAAGCTGTACGTTCTTCTTCCTCCAGGGGACGTAGACAGCATCACCACCCTCATCCACCATCACGTCCCCGAGGCGAAGCTGATCGAGACCATCGGGCAGGAGCTGACCTATCTGCTCCCCAGTAAAGGCTTCAAACATCGAGCCTACGCCAGTCTGTTCCGGGAGCTGGAGGAGATGCTGGCTGACATGGGCCTGAGCAGCTTCGGCATCTCCGATACGTCACTGGAAGAGGTGGGAGAACACCACCAGCCAGGGTTAGAGGCCATGGAGGTTTCTGATACTGCTACAATAAATAAATAATAATAATAATACAAATACAGAAAACATAGCTACACCCAAAATTATTGGTGAGGCAGATCTTTAATTAATGATATAGACCAGTTTGCCCAGCATGAGTGCAGGTTTGTTTACCTGTATGCTTCAATTAAAATAAATACCAGTAAATAATTAAATAAACTGACTGCATTAACATCAAGTAATCATGTTTCTGTTTAAATTTTGCGCTAATGTCTGTCTGTTAGCAAAATATCTCCCAGCACTGGAGTCATCTGATGTGTCTCTACAACTGATCAATGGTTGATGGCAACCACAACTAATTAAACACCAAACAAACAAACAAACAAACAAACAAACAAAATGCTATAACTTAGTTGTTCTTACTAATATTAAGCTGAAAACGTGTGTGGTAGTAGTTGAGAGTACTCCCCAACACATGCTCTGAGTGCAGTCAAATCAAGTAAGATCATGGTTTAAAAAGTTGCCATGCAAGATGGCGAGGGACGTGAATGATCTCAAGAAATGCTCATTTCATTCAAGCATCTAAATATATAATTTATTATATATTCTTGGTTTTACAGCAGAACCACCCTGTTTTCTCTAACTCAGCAATATTTGACTTATTGTTTATAAATGATGCCCCCAATTTTTTCACGTATATTCCTAATTCGACCCTTGAAAGTTTTCTTAGCATTTATTTTATTACACCCCAAGCCTTAATTTCATTTATGAATTTGCTATTATTCATATTTCATAATTGTAGTTATGTTCTTTTGTTGCAAACGAACCACAGCCGTCACGCTCGTTTTGAATTCTGCCAGGGACGTTTCTTGTTTCCTCTCTTCTGCACATTTTTATTTCATTTCACTTTTACTAAAAGCAGACGTGCTTTTGTGCACAGACAGAACGGGTCTGGTCCATTTTCTGGCTGTAAAATCAAACTCCAAACATTCTGTTCAATACTTCAAAACACAATAGCACTACAGATTGCATTTGCACAGCTTACCGATGGAAAAGATGAAAAGCAGCATGCCAAAGTCGCTCAAGGGCAGTCGAACTATTAAAAAAATACCTCTTGGATGTTAATTTGTTTGAACCACTTTGTTCATACAAATGCCAGGATAAGTTATTTTTTAAAGCTTTAAACATCTTCATATTTCTTAAACCCTCTTCAATCAGTCAGCAGGTCTTTAAAAAAACTGCATCGCACGCTGAAATAACAATTACCGTATTTGCCATCGTATACGTCACACACAAGTCGCATCAGTCCAAAAATGTCTAATAAAGTGGAAGGAAACATAAAAAAGTTGCTTCGCCGTATAAGTCGCGTTATGCGTCACCGCTGACCACGCAGAAACGTGGGCCGGTGTTGTGCCAAAAATCGATTGGCTGCCAAATGGCGGCTGCGGGATTTTGCACAGAAAGACTTTAACAAGAATTTAACAAGATTGACACTTAAAAACAGTTATTTGTTAGTTCATCATTAAAGTAAAGGTGTGTCTCAGTTGAACTTTTCCTTAATAAATGCACTTTAATGGTCAGATCAGCTGCATTTCGCCTGGCCGGTGCGGCAAAATGCAGCTGATTTGATTGTTTGCTCCAGGAGTTCCAGAGTGGGATGAAGGTGGCTCTGTATGGCAAGCCATGTTTCTCATTAATAGCCACGTTTACCTATTAGTGAGACACTTGGCTTGCCATAATGCTTGAGGGCTCTCTAGCAGCTGCAAATGTTTATGTTTAATATTTTTCATGTCAGAATTAATGAAATCGTCAGATCTCAGCCAAAAATTGGTTTAGAAATATGGGAAAAAACATATATTAGTCTCTTTGGTGTATAAGGCACATGACTTGCAAATTTATGCAAAAAAGTGCGACTTATGCACCGGCAAATATGGTATATGATGAGAAACATTCCTCTGCAACTGTATCCACCAATAAAATAATAAAAAAAAAAAATCCAATTTAACTGAAGGAGGGTGTGTCATTTAGAAGTTTTAAAGATTAAAAAAGCATACTAACATCTAAAATGAAAAAAAAATCACACCTAAAAGCAACAGTCTATATTTTATGCATGCAAAGTTTCAAACGTTGAGGAAGATTTTTTTAATTTTCTTTTTCAGATATTCCTAAAGGTCACAGCAGAAGGAGAAGCTGCAAATAATGCCACCACTGCCGGTAAATCTTTGTGGCCTTTTCCTGGACTTAAACTCTTGACCCATTGATCTGTCCTTCTAATCCTCAAGTTTCACACCTGTATTTGTTGTGCTCTAATCAGTGTACATCCCATAATAGAAACATGAATTGGAGCTATATAACTAGCTTGTGCATGTGTTGTGGTTTTAAGCCTGTAGTCTGTGTGTGTTTTCTCCCCCCTCTAGAGCAGTGGATGTTACAGGGAAGAAAGAATGGCAGCAGAGTTGGTGTAGGAGGAGACGAAGGTCAGAAAGCAAAGAGCAACTGAACAAAAATCAGCCTTTTTATTTTTACACTCTTTATTAATGAATCTTCCAGACCTTGGTTATTCAGAGGAAATGTCTCCTCATCAAATAAACTTTTGTGCTCCTAGTTTTTTGAGGAGCAAAAAAGGGGGAGTTAGAAATATTCTCCATCTGTTTGTCATTGAACGTTGTGAGCGTGATAACTTGTCCAAAATAACTCTAAACCAGCCACCCCCTATCAGCAGCTGTTACCAAAGTGCTTAACAATACAAATCAACAGGAAGTGAAGTGGTTTGTCTAATGTGGGGGTCAGATTGTTCCAAAGTTTAGTGCCCACAACTGAAAAAGTCCAATCTCCTCTGAGCTTCAACCTGGTTTTTGGTTCAACCAAAAGCAGCTGGTCAGATGATCTCAGCACCCGTGAAGGAACATATGGTTGAAGTAGCTCAGAGATATAAGAGGGCGCAAGGCCATTTAGGCGCTTTAAGGTCAACAGGAGAATTTTAAAATGTATTCTGATACGTACAGGGAGCCAGTGAAGGGAGGACAAAACTGGTGAAATGTAATCAAACCTACAAGTTCCTGTTAATAGTCAAGCTGCAGCATTTTGGATGAGCTGGAGACGTGAAAGGGACACCTCACTGACCCCAACACAAAGCACGTTACAGTAATCAAGTCCAGTTGTAATGAAGACATGGACTATGTTTTCAAGGTCAGATCTGATCAAAACTAACTTAAGACAGTGAGAACAGAAGGTGTCCAAGAATTGAGCCCTGCGGAACCCCACAGGAAAAAGGCGCTGAAGCAGATAATATATTACCTTTAATATGGGCGGCTGTGGCTGAGTGGTTAAAGCAGTTGTCCTCCAATGCAAGAGTTAGTGGTTTGATTCCACCAGCAATCACAGGCTTAATTAAGTGTCCCTGGGCAAGACACTGAACCCTTCATTGCCTCTGATGTGTGTCCCATCGGTCTATAATGTGATAGAGCACTGATTAATCTTTGTACAGAAATTGTAGAGTGCTGTATGAGTGGGTAAATGAGGGCACAGATTGTGTTGTAAAGATATATAAGTACAGTCCATTTACCATTTACCAACATTAACACAAAAGCTCCTGTCACTCAGATAAGAACAGAACCATTCTAATGCTGCACCTGTAATCCCAACCCAGTGTTCGAACCATGATATAAGGATACTGTAAAAAAAACAAACAAAAAAACAAGTTGCTTTGGGCTTCACCCAAAGCCACCATTGGCCGAACCCTGGGTCCACCTTTGCACCTGGTGGTGGATGAATTGCTTCGTCCGCTCACCAGGATCCATCACTCTGCTCCAACTTGGACAAGTAGCTCTGTTCTTCTACACAGTTTAACTTCTACCCACTAGAACATCTTGAACCAAAGCACATTGAGGTTTACTTGTATTCCCTGTTCAGTTCCAGTCCAGAAAAACACTCATCTACAAATCTACAAACATTCACTCTTCAAATCCTTCAGCGATGGGGACATCAGTGTTTAATGTGAGGTTTAACAGACAAGTATGAATGAGTCAGCCAACAGCTTGTCTCGAAAATGTTTTCTTCTACATCCTGTATCTATTGTTTGTTTTCTTATTGTTCACAGAACAAAACGGTGTAAACCACACACCTGACAGCAGTGCAGGGAAAGCCTCCAGACAGGTGAAAGGTGCCGCTCTGACCCTGAAGCAGTTCCACGCTCTGCTGGTGAAGAGATTCCACCACGCCACGAGGAGCCAGAAAGATTTCCTGGCACAGGTACCAGCTTGAAAATCTGTAAGGGATTCAGTGGTGCTGCATGGATTTTATCATGATAAAGTACTCATAGATTCAAAATCTGTAATTGTAATTGTCAAGTCTTTGATTTTAACCTGTGACCGTCTGGTTTCAGATCGTCCTTCCTGCCACCTTTGTCTTCATATCTCTGATCTTCACCCTGATTGTTCCTCCGTTCGGAGAATATCCCAGTCTGACTCTGAGCCCCTGGATGTACGGACAACAGTTCACCTTCTTCAGGTCAGACTAATACAAACACCTGAAAGGTTTAAACTACAAAGATTTTGGCTGTAGTTATGGTTTTGTTAAACCTGTTCAGCCTGGGCCTAATCTGAACTTTTTTATAAAAACATCTTTAGCAATGAGCATCCGTTTGACCCCAGGATGAAACACTTCATAGATCGCTTGTTAAATCGGCCGGGCCTGGGCACACAATGCATGCAAGGAGAACCACAGGGGTGAGTGTTTAGACACAACAAAATAAAAATCGGTCCAACTTTTTTCTTTTCTAGTGAACTGGTTTCTACAAAAGTTTGAATAATGTTGGAGATTGCATCACTTCTGCTAATTGAATGATTTCCTCTTTTAATTCTTTTCATGCTCCAGGATGCCGTGTAACAACAGCATCTCAGAGTGGGAACAGCCCGACGTCTCCTCTGTGGTCCTGAACATCTTACAGAGTCCTGAGTGGAACGAGCAGAACCCGTCACCTTCCTGCCAGTGCAGCACAAGTCAGAAGCTCACCATGATGCCCATCTGTCCTGTCGGTGCAGGGGGCCTGCCCCCTCTGCAGCGAGTGGAGGCCACCGGAGACATCATGCTGGATCTGACGGGCCGGAACATCTCAGACTATCTGGTCAAAACCTATCCCAGCCTCATCAGAACCAGGCAGGTTGGATTGTTTGTGTTCAGAGTGTGGACAGAAAGTTGTTCACACTAAATGTCTTTGAATCAATGGAGAAAATGGTGTAAACCAAACCCACAGATAGAGCTTCTTAATAGTTTGAATTATTTTAAATATGGCCAAAAGTTTGTTTCTTTGTTGTATTATTCACCTTTCTCCTTTATGGATTTTATTTCACAGTTTGAAAAGTAAATACTGGGTGAACGAACAAAGGTAATGAGCTTATTTCTCCCATTTTCCATAATTCTAAGTCTGAGATGTTCACGCTGAGTGCAAAACTCCTTCCTCATCAGGTACGGAGGTCTCTCAGTGGGTGGACAACTTCCTGTTCTGAATCTGAACCCCAAAGACGTCCAGAATATTTTCCATCAGCTGGGACGAATGCTCAACACAACAGGGGTTATTCTGGTTTTGGCCACTTATTGCAGGTTTCAGAGTGAATCCAATCAGTTTTTAATGAGCCCCTCTGTTCACAGGGTCACTTTAGCAGACTTTCATTGAGGGAGTTTGGGACATTCTTGCGATACATGGAGAGTGAGTTTAACGTAAAGGTGAGTTGTTTTTTTTGCAACACTTTCATGAGTTTCAAATAGAGGCAATCAAGTTTAGCAGTAGTTAAATACATGCATTTAACTTCCTCTGTCAGGTATGGTATAATAACAAAGGTTGGCACTCCATGGTAGCCTTCATGAATGTGGCAAATAATGCAATCCTGCGGGCCCACCTTCCTCCGTCTGCCAGACCTGTTGAGTTTGGGATCACTGCCATCAACCACCCACTGAACCTGACAAAGGAGCAGCTTTCAGAAGTCACAGTGTGAGTTATTGTGTACCTTTATGTATTTTGTGCTTTTGGATTTGAAGATACTGGACTTTTTATTTTTACTGTTGTGTGAGGTTTCAAAAGGCATAATGTTTAGAGTTTCATTGTCTTTTTGTTACTTTAAGACCAATTAATCAGAGCCTACAAATTCAAATGACTGCCTCAGTCATTTTTAGCATTGACAGCAGGTTTTAGTTCGTCACTTATGCGTGACAGTATTTCTGAACAAATGTACGCATGAAGCATGTTTCTGCCTACTGAAATTCTCAGGGATCAGGTTTATGAATTCAAAAGTTCAGCCAGACAACGAGAGCGTTTAAATAAATGTATTGTTTTGCAACTGCTGGTGGAAGTCCGAGTCCAGTCATGGGAATAAGTCCTCTCAGGGCAGGTGATGAGGGAGTCACCTGTCAGAGCTACAGTAGATGAGGTGATGTCACCGTAACTGGTGTGAAGGCAGCTGCAGAGTCGTGGTCTGAAAAACAAAACAGGAGTCAAGCACGGGGAGTCAGAGGTCCAAAAATTAATCCAGTGGGCAGTCCATAATCCAAAATTTGTGAGGCAGAAAATGTAGTCGTTATCACGATCAGATAAGCAAAACATAATTAGATGGGGAGCAGGCAGAGCAGTAAATCCAGAAAACGAGGCCTGAGGTCGAATCCACAAGACAAGATGTGAGGTAGATACAAGAACATCAGGCGTGAACATAAACGAGATGGCTGGATATCTAAAACCATGAAGGGTTCAATAATCTGGCAGAGGTTAGTAGTGAATGGGGCTCTTAAATAGAGCATGGAGCAGGTGCCATGTATGAGCGCTGATGAGCTGCTGGGAAGTGGGCATGGCAGATGGCAAAGAACGGTAATCATGACAGAAATCAAGTAATCCAGACTAGATCGTACTGATTTAATTTGTTTTCTCTTCAGGTTGACCACGTCCGTTGATGCAGTGGTGGCAATCTGTGTTATTTTTGCCATGTCCTTCATCCCTGCTAGCTTCGTCCTCTATCTCATTCAGGAGCGAGTGACCAAAGCCAAGCACCTGCAATTTGTCAGTGGGGTCAGTCCACTGGTTTACTGGGTGACCAACTTCTTCTGGGACATGGTAAGTCAGGGAAAATACATAAAAAGGTATTTAAAAAAAAAACTAATCTAAAACGAGAATTTTGTTTTTAAAAGTAGTAATAAATATTGCGTCTGTCTTTCATTACAGTTTTAAACTGGTCTCATGCTGAGAAAGAATGGAGTTGTAGCAGTTTTGATCAAACTATTTAAACTGTAGCAATTACCATGCAAGATTTATCTCATAATTTGTAAAACTGAGTTTGCCATTTTTGTGCTGACTAAGATTGATTAGCTGTGGCAGCCATCTTGAATAGGGTTGACGTTAATCAATTGTAGATGTACATCCAATGATTACTTTCTGATAGTTTCACTAAAATCTATTAAGTAGTTTGCAGGCAGGACTCGGGAAAACTCAGGATTTACAGTAGAAATGCCCCACAAGGCCTCTCTCACACACATACCCCCCCACCACCACCATTAAATAACATTTCCATTCTCCATTTCCCCTCCACAGATAAACTATTCTCTCAGCACCGCCATGGTGGTTGGTATTTTCATGGCTTTTGATAAAAAATGTTACACGTCACCAACTAACCTTCCAGCACTAATAGCTCTGCTGCTTCTGTATGGGTAAATTACAGATCCTTTACTAATTCTAATTCTAAAAAAAAAAAAAAAAATTTGTAAGTGTTAGCTGGACTTTAAATAAAGAAAAAAGTTAACGTGAGTTCTCCTTCATTCAGGTGGTCCGTGACGCCCATGATGTACCCCATGTCCTACGTCTTCAATGTCCCGAGCACAGCGTATGTATCCCTGTCCTGCATCAACCTCTTCATCGGCATCAACAGCAGCGCCATCACATTTGTCCTGGAACTTTTTGAAAACAATCGGGTAATCAGGTTTGGCTTATTTGTCATATGTAAAAGCAAAACAAGGTCAACAATACAATGAAATGTTCAGGACGAGAAGAACCGTCTCGACTTGCCCAAAAAAACAACAAATATCAAAGCATGCAACAAAAATACAGAAGCAAGGCACAAAAAGTGAAAAAGAAATAAATCTACAGCAACATGGTCCCGTTGGCCCCATGGTACTGTTAGCAGTGTGGTTTGGTTAGTGCTGTGGTCTTGTTAGCAGCGTTAGAGGGTCTTGTTAGATAGTGGACGAGTCCCCACTTATGTTACAACCCTTGGAATAAGTCTAGGAGGTGCAAGGTGTAACACAAAAATTGTAAACTAAACAAAGCTAATAACTCAAAAACAACCCAACTTGGCATTACAATAATTTTATTGTGTAAGAGTTTTTGGGTGTTACAGACAAGAGGGGAAGCCATGAACGTCAGGGTCTCCAAGGCCAAAACAGCAAACAAAAGAATACCCCTTCTGGCTAGAAAACAAAATCACCTTATATCTAACAAAACTAAAACTACAATTCCTAAGCTCCCTGGCTGGCCACAAAACAGGAGAAAAGTTAATTAAAAATAAAATGGCAGAGAACCCCTACCAAACTTCCCTTCTAAACAAAAGGTTTCTAAAATAGAGTTGTTCACAGAAGTTAACAGAAATCAACTCAGAGTTGCTAAAATGTTTTGTACAGAGTTCAGAGTCAACCACACTGCACTGCTCAGAACCAAGTAGAAATGCCCAAGGAGAAAGGGGTGTGGCGCTGGATCACTGAAGCTTTTATGCAGTCCACTGATGAGGAAGAAGTGATTCCAGGTGTGCAGCATGGTGAGACAGCAGGCCTGTAAACAAGCAAAAGAGGAGAAAGGTTGTCCTCTAGTAAGAGAACCCCTTAGAAATCAGTGGACGTAACAGTCTTGTTTGTCTCTATGTGGCCCTGTAATGGACTTGTGATCTGTCCAGGGTGTACCCCGCCCATCGCACAGGGATTGCTGGATATGGGCACCGGCAAACCCCGTGATCCAAAATAGAAGAAGTGGGTAAAGATAATGGATGGATGGATGGATGGATTTTTGTTTCATTATAGGATGATTCAAGTAGGACATTGTTATTGCAAAATCATGCCCTTGACATGACACGTCATTCAAGCACTGACTTTTACCAATTAGCATACGGTAATTGGTAAAAAATTGTGTCAAAAATCTAAGTACTGTAATTATGCGCTTGTTTATTAAAATGTGCCTTCTTTTTGTCTGAAATTGTACATATGCTACAGGGTGGGCAACTCATTGTGTCTACATGAGGAGCAGATTTATTCTCTCTGTTTTATAAATACAGAGTTGGAATATTGCACCTAAACTGACTTCTCAACAGTTACAAAGCGTCTGTAAATTTATCCCTAAGATCTTAAACAACACATGGTGAGAAAAGAAACAAATCATCCCATGCATCAACCAAATACGTCTTAAATTAAACTATTCAATTAAAAGTGTTTAATTGTCAAATGAAATGCAAATTACAAATCTGCAATGTTGCCATAGGCATACTATTAGCCTGTAGCCATAACAAAATAATGCTAATATATTTCCATGTTGGCCCCGGTTGTTAAAAGGTCAAAAAGTTTTTAAACACACTTTGTATTCTGGGTGTCTGGCTGCCTTCAAGTACTAACAATTTAAATAGTTTAATGTAAATGTGATCCATGGTCTGCTTCAAGGGCTGGAGGGCAAACAAGAGTGTAATAAATGAAAAATACAAACATCAGTACTGTCGTATAAGAAGATACAAATTAAGTTTGAGCTTAAATGATTACTATTATGTGCAAATATAATGTTTTTCACTAAACAGTAGGAAAAACAATATTTTATTTAGGATTTAGTGACTCAGAATAGAGTTGGAGCAAAAGCACAGAATCTATAAATATAAACTAAAAAAAGGTGAAGAGAATTACGTTGTTGTTTACAGCTGTTGTTTTCCTACTGTGGCGTGCCAAAATGTTGCTGATCTGATCATATAGAGGCTGCAAACACAGACTGTTTATTAATGAGCTGCATCTAGAGCAGCATAAGGTGCGATGAGAAGCTGAAGCCAAGGAAAGAGCAGAACCAAGCAGCTCAGTCTGAAGGAAAACAGTCCAAACATGGACGGTCAGAATATGTACGACAGGAAAACGAGTTTTCTGTCGCACGATTGGAGAAAAATGAAAATAAAAAGGATTTAGGGAAACGGACACAGATGCTGTTCTCGTTGAAACCTGTTACGTGGAAAAATAGAGATGGTTCTTAACCAGATGGTTCTCTCTGCTGAACATCTGCGCTCCATTTTTTTCCACAATGGATGAGTCATGAGTGAAGCTCTGCGGGTGGATTGAGCCATCCTTTTTCTGTTAATATTTCCAGAAACATTATGTTTCATTAACAAGCATCATTTCACCTTGAAAGAAGCCAGTTCTTACAAATGGATTAAACATTTACAGATGCCTAATTCAGCCAGTTATATACTGGTGTTTGTGTGTAACATGAGTGCGTTGCATTGCCAGTCTTTGCTGACCTTCAACGAGTGGCTGAAGAAATGCTTGCTGGTGTTCCCTCACTTCTGCCTGGGCCGTGGACTCATCGACATGGCCATGAATCAAGCCGTCACTGACGTTTACGCCAGGTTCGGTAAGCGCTGCAAGCCACTTCACATTTAGTTTCACTTTGAGTTCCAGATTTGTTTTATAGCAGTTCAGCAACGACTGTTTGTACTGGTTGAAATGTGCGTTTAGGTCATTTGTGAATACACACTTTGTTTATTCCAGGTGAAGAGTACACAACGGATCCTTTCCGTTGGGACTTTGTGGGGAAAAACATTGCTTTCATGGCGGTGGAAGGCTTTGTGTACTTCATTCTCAGTCTCCTGATCCAGTATCGGTTCTTCTTGAACCATTGGTAAGGGCCTAGCTGACAGCTCACCAGATACTGTTGGATAAAAATGTCCTCTATTTTTATCTTACTTACTCAAAGAAGCCACACTCGATAGGAGAAGATTTTGAACCAGTTTTAGTGGCAAGGAGAGATTTTCACAACAGGTTACACAGATGTAGAGAAGTATACTTGCATGGGGCCCAGTCATGAGACTCTGCCACGGGCAGTGTGCGACACTTGTTTTTATAGGCTTATCAGCTCTCACAGTTCACAGACAGGCTGGTGTAGAGTTGCATTCGGGCCCCAAAAAATCCGACCCAACCCAGCCTCAGCCCGTAGCCATCATTTCCAAACCCCATCTGACTCGACAAATTAACAGTAATTACAGGTCCAAACCCAACCCAACCCCCCCCCCCCCCCACACACACACACACACACACTCCAAACATTTTTAATTAAGCTTTGACTGCTTATATATTTATTAACGGCGGCGGATGCGCGTGGCTGAGAGAACAGAAGATCAGAGGTGAGGGGGCGTTTGTCCTTTCATGGCCGTCAAACCACATTAAATCCCTGCTTTTGCCTGCATTCTGCATTATTCAGACATGGACCCTGCTCTGACATGTCGGATATTTTGGGATCTCACCTGTTTGGTTTGTCAGCCCCGCACATTTGATGAGTGCAGCGGCTGAATGAACGTCCATTTGGGCTTTGATGGATCGCTGCCTGGCAGTAGTCCCATCTAAAGCTTAACTGAACTGTAAAAAAAACAAATCACTTTCAAGGCCGGTCATTGCACAGTCAAATGGCCGCATGCAGCTGATGATTGTATGGCAAGCCATGTTGCCATATAATTGAATCCTCAGCCACGCACATCCGCTGACGCAGTCAAAAGCCAGACGCAGACCCTTCCCACACATTAAGCACATTATTATGGCCAGGCCCTAATCAGGGTCGGGCTGGACTCCAGGTTAAGGTTAGAAATGACAGCTCTAGGCTGGTGTCCTTAGACTGCCAGCTGCACATGCAGTATCAAATCAGCTCCTCATCCAGGAGGATGGGGAGTTCCTTTCTCTCTCTGAGAGAGAAAAGAACTCTCTGCTAACTCAAACACATGGGTCATGGGCGGTTAACATTCTCAGCCATAGTGGTTAAAAACATCCATAAACCTTGACCAAAATTCCCTAACAGATACATTAAGTAGGAAAAGGTCTTTTGTACAGAGTCTGAAAACTAAAGTTTGATTTGGTGTAAACCCATTCTACTTGGAGCATCTTTGTGGCTGTTCATGTATTTTCTCAGGTTATCAGACTACAAGCAGGTTTCAGTAGAAGATGAGGATGATGATGTGGCAGCAGAGAGGCAGAGGATTTATGATGGAGGGAGCAAGACGGACATTCTGCAGATGAGGGATCTCTCCAAGGTAAAGATCACTGACTCAGTCATGCCATGTCTGCAAACTTTTCAGGATGTCTCCATTTTAAACAATACTTCATGCTGCAACTGTACCTGCTACTACCAGGTATGAACGGGCTGTGTTATAATTACTTGTGAATCTTTACTAACAGGGTACGTAGCTCGTACTTACCCAGTACTTACCAGTTATGTACTTGATACATACCTGTTCCAGCATTATGCATTGCTGCCTTAAATAAAAGTTGATCTTTTTATACATTCCAGATTTTTAACATTGGATATTTTTTTTAAATTGAAAGTCGGTTTTGCATTTTGTGTGACTTTTATGATGCAGATTAGATGTATTAGTAGCTGGCTTTTTTGACATTTTACTTTGTAACTTATTTTTATTTAAACATCTACAAAGTTAATCTACTTTGTAAATTTACAGCATGTTAGAATAAAATATCACAACATATGGGATAAACAGTTGCATGTTAATGTCGATTTAGTGCACAGGCTGATTAGATTTATTTATTATATGTAGATTTAATGTTTTTGTACTTTTTCTTATTTCATTTTATATTTTTTATGGTGCTTTTCCCATAACGTGAGTTGTTTTTCTGCCTTCTCTGCACAGACGTATGTGGGCAGAGAGAGGGCAGCTGTGGACCGGATTTGTGTGGGAGTCCCTGCAGGAGAGGTGAAGTCACCAAGTCGCCTTTTCTACTGAGATCTACTTCTCTGTTCGCCACAAGTTGTCTTTTTATATTTGCCTAAATGAACCTGCTGCTTCAGCTCATGAAGTAATGAAAACACGGAGCGTATCACCATCGCTGGTCTTGTTTTGTCTTCGAGATAAAGCACAAACAGAGAAAAATAGTATTACTAATGTTAATGTTGATTTTTATTTTTTCGTGAGTCCAGTCAAAGTAGACACAATGTTTATGATGATATTTGTAGCCATTCTACATATTACTGCATTTGTTTCCACATTTTCAGTTTTTTTCCACGTCCTTTGAATCGTTATTTTTTTTCTGTTAGTGCTTTGGTCTTCTGGGAGTGAATGGAGCTGGAAAGACGACAACATTTAAAATGCTCACGGGTGACGCTGATGTCAGCTATGGAGAGGCTACTGTGGCGGGTTACAGGTACAAAAAGCTCATTTAGAAAAAGTTGTCCCTATGTTTCAGAAAGCACAACACGAATCCTCAATCAGGGCTGCATGCGTCCAAAGACGTATGTTTAAACCAACATTTCTCTGTGGCTCATCGATCACACAGTTCCAGATGGTGGCTGCTGCAGTGAGTTAGAGAGTGTGAGCAGAGGAAGGTCAGACTGACATCCTCTGCTAACATTATCTGACTATCAACCTAAACTATCAGACTCTATATAAAAGAAGGATTTAATAGAATGTTACATTTTCTAAATCACAAATCACGTTTTGTTTTGCAGCATTTCTTTTCAGAAAGGTCTAGGTGGACAGTAATGTTCTTGTCTATGTGCTTGCATGGTGAGATTTTATTGAAACATTCATAAAGTAATAACTGGATGTACCTCTACTACAAATTAACTTTTGGAGTAAAGTCTAATTCAAAATGACAGCCACACCAACAGACATGTTTTCATTCAACCTTTATTCATACAGGTTAGTTTCATTGAGCCACGAGGATTCATTTTCAAGAGAGACTTGTTTTAGACAAATAACATATAAAGAACAGACAAAAATAAGTCAATTAAAATCAAATAAAGCAAGTTATAAACACAGTCAAATCAAGATGCTGTAGAAAACAAGGTAAAATACTAAAAACAAGAACATATTTGCTTTGATATTTCTATTGACATTATCAAATGTTTAAAAAACCCCATAAAGAAATAAAGATGGACAGCTTCAGTTCTTGTTGCAAGGTGTTCCAGGTTACAGGAGCAGAGTAAGAGAAGGCCTTTTAGCTGAGTTCAGTTCACACTGAGGGAACACTGCAGGTAATGATGGCCTGAGAGCGCACGCTGTAACTGCACTGACAACATGACGTGAGGAGATACAAGAAGGCAGCAGACCAAGGAGGGATTTGTAAATGCAAATAAACCAGTGTGAGCGTCTATGTGAAGTTAATGATGACCATTTGACCACTGAGTACAGGGTGCAGTGGTGGGTATGGCAGTTACAACCAGTTATGAATTTTAGCGTGCCACGACAGACATCAAATCGGTTATAAATCAATCGGTCAAGATATTGACCTAAAATTTGGTGCGATTGTAGCTGAGAGTTATTAGGAGCAGATACTTGAACTACTTGTCATTGCACAGTCTTTCATACCATAGTTTTAAACAGATGCAACTTCAGAGACATGTTAGAGATATGTCATTAATCACACGTTACCAAAAAAAGTTTTATGTTTTGGGCTTTTTATTAAACATTTTTCAGGAGGAATCATGTTAGCATATTAGTAGCCATCATTAAGATCAAACTCGTTAAAACAATTCTGATATGTCTAGGGCGGCTGTGGCTGAGTGGTTAGAGCAGTCGTCCTCCAATGCAAGGTTTGAGGGTTCGATTCCACCAGTAGTCACATGCCGAAGTGTCCCTGGCCAAGACAATGAACCCCTCATTGCCTCAGATGTGTGTCCCATCAGTGTATGAATGTGATTAAGCTCTGATTATTCTTTGTACAGACATAGTAGAGTGCTGTATGAATGAGTAAATGAGGACACAGATTGTAAAGAGCTTTGCGTGTCTTTATAAGATAGAAAGGCGTCATACTGTCTGTAAGTACAGTCCTTTTACCATTTCTCCTGCTTTATTTGGGTAACATCACTGACAAGCCATTTCTGTCTTTCTTTTTTCAGCATCCTCACAGAGATCCTTGATGTGCACCAGAACATGGGTTACTGCCCCCAGTTTGATGCCATTGATGAGCTCCTTACCGGCAGGGAGCATCTCTACCTTTACGCTCGTCTCAGAGGGGTACCGGAGTCAGAGATCCCCAGAGTGAGCAGAATACCAGCTGCTTTACATATTGAACTGCCTGAGGAGGACGTTCTACTCTGCTACACAAATGACTGAGAACATTCTCTTTTATGAATATTGTTTGGTGCATCCTCCTCTTTGAGATGCCAATGGTTTTTTCTTCTTTTAATTTATTTTACTGTCAGTACGCAGTGCTTTAAGTGGCCACTAACACAGCACCTCTTCCTTCTGCAGGTGGCAGAGTGGGGCATCCAGAAGCTCGGTCTGACAGATTATGCAGGCTGCTGTGCAGGAACATACAGTGGAGGGAACAAACGCAAACTCTCTACCGCCATTGCGATGATTGGCTGCCCAGCCCTGGTGCTCCTGGTGAGTCAGCCAATAACAACAAGCTCCAGAGCCCTTTTTTTGTTGTTGTTTTGTCTTAGGTTTTGTGCTGGGATTTATCAATGAAATGGTCTTTGGATCCAGATGGGAAAGCCATATGGGTGCAATCAGACCTGGCCTCCAATGTCCTATGTTTTGGCAAGAAACTGGGCATTTCAGTTCAAATTGGCAGAAGTCTTTGATTTTGCCATATGCTGATGGAGATAAGGACTCGGTCTCTGTTCGTATGGAGTTATGTACTCAGAAAGTCAAGCTTGTTGTTTGTTTTTGTGCATGCGTGTCATTAGGATGAGCCCACGACAGGGATGGACCCGCACTCTCGGCGCTTCCTGTGGAACGCCATCATGAGCGTCATTCAGGACGGCAGGGCCGTGGTGCTGACTTCACACAGGTTTGAACCATAGCAACATGCATACGGTTACATCTTCTGACAACAGCTTTGAATCACATCACTGTGTTGTTTTCTTGACTTTAACACAAAAATCTGTGAAATGATGATGTATTGGTCACAGCAGCAAAACTAAAGATGAATTATTGTTGTTCCACCAGCATGGAGGAGTGTGAGGCTCTGTGCACTCGACTGGCCATCATGGTCAATGGGACCTTCAAGTGTCTCGGGACCATCCAGCATCTCAAATACAAGTAAGACTTAATGTTGAGCATGTTAACCCATCAACGTTAACGTCGGACAGCACGACACAGTAGTTAGAGCTGTTGTCTCTTAGTGAGAAGGTTTCCAGATTGCTACCCGGCCTGGTGCTTTTCTGGATGGAGTTTACATGTTCTCTCCATGTATGCAAAAGTTTTCACTGGATACTCCGCTTTCCTCTCACAGACCGAAAAATCATGCATGTTAGGTTAATCGGTGACTCTAAATTGTCTCTAGGTGTGAGTGAGTGTGAATGATTTTTGTTTTTTTTGTGTCTCTGCGATGGACTTGCAACCTGCCCAGGGTGTTTCTAGCCTCTCGTACACAGACTGCTGGAGATAAGCACGAGTTCCTCGTGACCCCATAATGAAAAAGTTGATGATAAAATTGATGGAATGATGAAACTCTAATGCCTAAGTGTCTGTTGCCAAAACGCGGGTGATAACATTTTTGCACGTGTTTGTGTGTACATGCATGCATGTGTCTGTTTACACATGATTCACAGAAAGTGATCATTGGACGTATAGCTACAACGAGATAACTCAACCTAGATAACTGGCTGCCATATACAACTGACCTTAAAACACATAGAAATGATAACTTAATCAGTCTTATAAATATTGACCTAAAATTTGGGCTTATTGTAGCTGAGAATAGTCCCCAACACAGTTTGAGCGCTAAAAAATTGCACAAGATCTTTGCTTAAAATTTGGCAACTATTTGCAGTCAGTCTGTTAGCAAAATGATTTGTGAACCACTGAAATCTTTAGGAACTAATTATCCCATGTACCTCTGTGGCCGTAACTGTTAAAAAACTTGAGAAACCACTAAAATGACCATAATACATTCATCTTTATGGCTATTGTGGTAATATTTGATGTGGTAGCAGCTGACAGTCATTCACAACACATACTGGGTACTCAGAACACAAAGTATTGCAAAATGTTCAAGGTTTGACCAAAATGGCTACAACTTCCTCATTTGTCAGCAGAAGATAATGTTAGTTTAAAACTTGCAGGAAAGGCAGAGGGTAATGTGCATTCCTTTGAAGAGGTCTTTGTCTTCAGTTTAATGTTGTAAAAGTTTTTTAACTTTAAATTAGGGTGTTATTGGATTTAATAGCCTCAAAGATCCTACTGCATTAAATAACGTGTAATATCTTTAAGTGTTTTATTCCCTTCATTCAGATTTGGTGACGGCTACGTAGTGACCATGAAAATCAAGGCAGCTAAAGCAGGCTTGTCCCCAGAGCTGGAGCCTGTGGAGAGCTTTATGGAGAGCTCTTTCCCCGGCTGTGTTCAGCGGGAGAAACACTACAACACCCTGCAGTATGAAATCGCCTCATCCTCCCTGGCCAGGATCTTTCAGGTGGTGGTGGCCAATAAAGAGAGGCTCAGCATTGAAGACTACTCCGTGTCCCAGACAACTCTGGACCAGGTGAGCATGAACATAACATTCTTGTCTTGATTCCAAGGAACTGAAGTACTAGAATCTGATTTACATCTTCTTGTAATGCACTTGGGTATTAGGTATTTGAGGCTTAAAGTACCAAAACATTTACTAAGGTAAGTTACTAAAACAGCTTTATTAAGGGTTTGTAATGATATATTTTTTTAGCAAATGTTTCTGGTAAGTTTGTGATACTTGTACTCCTGGACCTTACTGCTGCTTTTGATACTGTCGACCACAGTATCCTTTTATCATGGTTAGAATACTGGGTTGGGATTACAGGTGCAGCCTTAGAATGGTTCAGTTCTTATCTGAGAGACAGGAGCTTTTGTGTTAATTTTGGTAATATTTTATATGCTTCAGTCCCTTTTTCCTGTGGGGTTCTGCAGGGCTCGATTCTTGGACCCCTTCTGTTTTCACTGTATCTTTTTTTGTCCCTTCAGTTACTGCCACTGATTTTATTGTTAAGCCCTTTGGTAACAGCTTCTGTTTTTAAATGTGCTTTATAAATACATTTGACTTGACTTGACTTTAAAGAAACGTGTCAGTTTACATGGTGATGGACAAAGTGTGACAAAATGAGCTAATGACTCGATAACACGTTCACAACTGTATTTGTAAGCTTCACACCTAAATCCAAGTCGTACCATCCAGTGCAAAACTAAAAACACGAGGACTGCAAGTGTGGGGAAAATCTGTGATCACATTCTGAATCAGGTTTTTCCCCTGCTCAGGTGTTTGTCAACTTTGCCAAGCAACAGACAGGAGAGGATGAAAATGTCACGTTACACAGACGGAAAGGACACTCAAGAAAAGATGTGAAGATCTCACCAGCAAGGAGAAACAAATGAAAGGTAAAGAGCCTTACTATGTAAAAAAAATAAAATAAGTGGCTTAGCAAATTTATGAAGAGTCTGTCGTCAATGTCTCAACAGACTATTTTCATACAATGCTAACCAAACTTTTTTTTGACATAGTAAGGCTATTTATCTGCCAAAAATGATGTTAGAGCATCAGTTTTTACAGCCTCAGTCAAGCTCTTCATAAAACACAATACATATCTGACTTTGTGTTTCTCTTAACAGCAGAGACAAAATGCAAACAGTGATAACTTCTGCATAGACTAATGGGTTGTACATATGTACATATTGTATAAGTAATGAATATTTAAGCCCGGATAGAGTATTATTTTTGTTTAAATTAACATGCTATTTTATTTTATTTTTAAATCAAACACCATGCCATCTGAATGCAAACTATGTTTACCGCTGCTGCTGTTCTTTTGAGTCTTTACACATTAAAATATTTATTTGCTCCGTTTCATACATTGCATGTCATATTTTCTCCCAGTGTGAACCCCGGATAGTGAGTTGTTTTCCTCTGCATCTGAAGAGGCAATCCCTTCAGGAGCTGGTATTTCTTTGCCTTTCTGTTCAGCCCAGTCACAGTTCTTCAGCAATCATGATTTCACAATGTATACGTGAGGTACTGCATTTTTTATTCAATCTTTCAGCCCTTGCCTTGCATTTCTTGAAGCTCCAGTGTTTGACGGGATTTTTTTTACTACTGAGTGAATACATATTAATAAAGCAGCTGAGAAATAGTTTTGGATTGGGGCCACCATGACACCAATGCGAGTAGCTTGTCACAACCTGGATTTATCTGACAAAGTCCAATTACGCCTCTCTCGCTGCTAGTGGTGGTATCGTTGCCTAAAGCCGCCCACAGGCCCAACTCTCACCGGCGATGTTGGCAATGCACAATTCAGAGCTGCTAATGAATTCTCTGGAGGGGATCTCATGCTGCCGTCTGCCCATGTGGACATCTGAATGAGGCTGATGAGCATGAACGGTGCCGCTGTGGGGGAGCGAGTGAGTCATGACGCAAGAAGCTGTGAAATGTAATTGCACGATGCTGACCACTGAGACAAAGATTTGTCTGTTTTACTGAAACTAAAAATGCTGTTTGTATACATTACAGGGGTCCTGCTCGTTCTTTGCATGAGAATGTTCAGATTAGTTCTCCTGCTACATCAGGTCTGTCTTTATCACAAGCATTTTTACCAATTCTACAACATCTAACTGCTGTGGTTAGAGTTGTTTTTCTTCTCCATGAGATCTTCTCCATGATCATCAAGTATACAAGCTATTTTCTACCTGTATACATAGTTAAACACACATTAATTAATCTGACCCAACATAAATTGTGAACTTAGGCTGTAAAATGGATCTGCCATTCATAATGTGTAGCAAACAAAACCGGTCATTTCTATAGTCATTGCTTTTATTTAACATTCTGGTTTCTGTGTGTCCCATTCAGATTCTACTCAGACATCTTTGAAAACGTGTCTGAAACACAAACTCACTTTCTGCATGTGGACCAAAAACTGTAGAGAAAGTTTGTTTTATCTAATCTAGATTAAAAATTAAAGGTAATTGGTTTATGCAGCGGCTGCTCTAAACGTATAGATATCTTAATTTTACATTCAGAATATACCAGAATATACCAATATACCAGCAAGTAATGGCATTTAAATCCTTGCTAAGATCCGTTTTTTAATTTTGGCTTTAATCAATTTAAGCACTTGATTTAAATAAAACATAAGATTTAGCTACTTTAGCTGTTTTTCTATACACATTTAGTTGTAATTTTATTCTTGTTAGCTGTTTCTATATTTTATAATATTGTCTTGACTTTGCTCAGCCCCAGTAATATAACTTTAAATTTAAATACACGCAAGATGGATTTAAATGTGATATATATTTCAAAATTGACATAGACAGATTTAAAATGTTGACGTTCATTTAAATTCACATACCATTAAAAAATTGCATTCACTGTCACACAGTGTGGGATAATACCCATAATTTATCATTCTGTTCATGATTAAAACCCTAAAATGTATTGTATTTTTCAGTCTATAAGGCGCACCGGATTATAATGCACAATATCAATGAACGAGTCTGTTTTCATACATAAGGCGCACCCGATTATTAGGTGCATTAAGCGAAACGTTCATTTTGACAGATTTTTGAGCACCGTGCATCACATAAAATCAGTTCGAGGTCAGTAAGCACAACCAGAATTAATAAGGCACATTGGATTATAAGGCTCACTGTCGATTTTTGAGAAAATTACCGTATTTTAAGTGCACCTTATAGTCCGAAAAATATGGCATCCTTGTTTTGTCATTTTGGTCAACGTCACTTTCAATACTTCATCCATCCATTATCTTTGACCTGCTTCTTCCATTTTGGGTCACGGGGGTCGCCGGTGCCCATGTCACTTTCAATACTTGACAAAATAAAATAAAAAAAACTGTGAAACATTTGTGATCGAGTTTATTTACCTGTTATGAAAGGAGCCAACAATTTCCAGCCAAACATCAAGCCCAAAGAAAACAACATTTAAATGTACAGCTTGAGTAGTTTGACTGATTTGCAGCTTCAGCACATCCTTACACATATCAAGTTTTACGACCCATCTTTTTCTCTGTAACATACATATAATTATAAACTCAAACATGAAGCAAAAAAAACAAACATCAAATAACCTGAAAACAAAATCATTTTATTCTGTAATGTTATAAATCAGCAAATAAGACATTGCCTGACTCACCTGAGGGTGGTGATGAATGATGATGTAGCTACAAACCTCCAGTGATACAGCAGCTCAAAGAAGACTGAAAGATGTGTCAGTTATTAATGTGATCATTCCTGGACTCCCAGGCTGAACCGCCGTGTCCCAGTCCAATCACCCTGTGTAATGTTGTGTAAATAAAGTGCACATGCAAACCCATTGGTCCCGCTGCACGTAGCAGTGGACGTAGAACATTAACCTGGTATACATTTCCATTTACTCTCTCGTTTCAGTTCAACAAGCTATAAAGAATTAATCATCATAAACAATGAATAAAACGTGTGGCGTCTGTTTTAAATGGCTTCCATGAGATGAGATACCTGCTCACTTCAACAATTTCACTTTCATTTTCCGGAGACTCAACCTGTAAAACAGTTGTCTATACGCTGTTGCTCTGGACCATCTTTGTCATAATATTTAGTGGTCTGGAAAAGTTCATATTTGAGGTTAATGTTGTGTTTTGCTCGTAGAAAGTCTGTGTTACATGATCAGAAGGACCCGACTGAAGACATTCAAGCTGGAAGATGAGCGACAGTGTAAATAAAAGTTGATTAAATTATAATAAAAACCCTTATAAAACAGAAAATTATGAACAAAATCCAAAGAGAAGGACTTTTGCTAAAAAGCAACAATAAGCTTACAACAACAAATAAGAATTATTAATCCAGGGAGAAGATAATGATCAATACTTTGCAGGTAATGTGAGAAGCAAATTAGGATCAGGTGGGAAAAAGAAAAGAAAGTCTGATTGAAACAAACCAGGAAACAGCAAGAAGATGCTACGATACAGAGCAAGAAATTAAAACAATGACAAAACCTAAAATGAAAGAAATAAACCGACCAACAAAAACACAACTTCCTGGAAAGAAGACGATCAAAATCATACATCTCTATAAAACCTGTGATTTGTTCAAAGCCACTACAGCTTATTACACTAGAATTAGGTGCGATAGAAGCTGAGAGTCATTCATAAACCATAATAACAGATCGGGCAAGATTTTTATTTTAAATTTTAGAATGAATTGCATCAGACTATATGCATTCCTTTATCAACTGGTAGCTTTTAAATGTTATCATTTTTATTTAGTCCAACACAATGGTTTGGGTTACAAATTAACATTTCTGGTTGAACTTTAAAAACTGGATGCACCTTCAGCCAATAAATTTGTTAAAACACACACAAAATGTCAAATTTACACCTGCTTTGATGAAGCAGCAGTGATACTAACAAGCTTAACTATTCAAATATTCACCAGCTGTTTATTTTACACCTATAACAGTGACGGGCGGTGAGGTTTGTGACAGGTGAGGCAGACTTGTCTGGAATAGGATGCTCACATATATGAACCCAAAATAGAAGCTTATATTTCAATTTAGCATTTTTTTTTCTTTTATAAAGGCATCTAGTTACACTTTAATCAACTCCATACTCCTCTCTTTTTTAATTTTCATTCATTCAACCTTTATTTAGGCAGGTTAATCCCATTGAGCCTCGGGGACTCAAAAAAACAACAAACAAACAAACAAACAAAAAAACAACATCAGGTATTATCTTGCCTTTATTTGAAGATGAATGAGTTTGGAAAAATTATGAGTTTAGAAAAATTTAGTTTTGAGACGTGCTTTTCCATCCTCGCCCCTCTACGTAACAGAAGAACGCACAGCAACGTTTCATTGTCCCTATGGGGCAGCACTGCCCCCTATCGGTGTGGCATGGTACTTTTTGCCTCACCCTGTGTATTTTCACCTTGCATTTGTGACCGATTATAAAGAAGAAATATGTCTCACACATTCTTTCAATATATTAGATAGACTGTAGAACATCAGCATGTGTAGCATGTGTAATCAAACATGTATATTGGCGATATAAAGAGAGACAGGAATTGACATGCTCCAACTGCCTACTTTCAATTCAGTTTATTTATATATTGACAAATCATATCAAAGTTGTCTCAGGGCACTTTACAGAAACATTCACATACATAAAAGCCAATTAGTAAAGTTCTCTATATAAGCACATTTATAGACACATTACATATGCATTTGATGACAAGATTTGTCCATGAAGCACTTCCAGATAGCACCATAGTCCTGATAAAGTGTTGATTTCAGCCGATACAGCTCTGATAAGCACATTCACGGGGGTTCGGGGGATGGATAGAGCAGAGCCTTTTTAGTTTACACACATCCCAGGAGAAATTTGATGTTGGCCTGCTTCAAGGCCGAACAGGGAGGTCAG